CGTTGCAAGCTCACGTGTGCACGTCTACGTGTACGAGCGCGAAATTTCACATGCACTATTTTCGCCGGTCGCTAAGCTGGAGGAGGCACAGGCTCCATAGGAAATGAATGGAGAGCGAGCGACGTCGCCTCCCGCGTGTCGAGCCCTTAACACAGCGGCTGGATAAACTGTTGCTTTCAGGAACCGTGGGAACTGGAAATGTCTTTAAAACRTCACTGATATTTTATGTTTAAATGATTCTTTTTGAAAACTAACATGTTTGATAGAAGCTTAGTCAACACACGATGCAAAACGTCAGCAGCATTTTCAATCCATGTTGGACATTTGTCTCTCAGAGTAAAACAGAGGAACTGATTATTTTTGAGCAAAACTTATGTCTCCTAATGAGCTCCATATCAGAGCAGCGTTTAGCAAAAGACTGTACTTTCCAGGGAGCGGCCGGTCCATAAGATCACAAACACACGGCCTGACAAGCTTGTCTGTTTGATAAAACACCTCATGAAAAATGGCGAGGCTGTTTGTTTCTTCTGCAGAAGGTGTAAAACCTAAATATATAGAAATATAACAGAAAAGGAGACGATTACATGCAGGTTTAGGTGTCTGAAGAGTTCAAACAGCTGCACGACTTGTAGAATGAGCAATGAATAAAACAACCTGTCCCTGCGATTAGTTTAATCAGAATAAGACCAGAGGTGGGTTCGGTCCCACCATCCGGAGCATCTTTATGAAGACCCTCAGATATACGAGTGTGAAAGGTGACGCAGCTGTTTTCTGCTGGGTTTCAGAGCGAGTAATCCAATCTGCTGAGAGCAGCGCAGACACACAGTGGGAACAACAGACACGTACGGCGTGCTGACGGGTCCGGGTCACCACGGTGCGTCCGGTGTCGGCGACAGAGGTGTTTTAATGAGGAGAACGGGGACCTCGGCGTGGTTCTGCTGACCCTAACGCTTCACACGACGACTCCTCACACTCCAGTGGTCCCCGTGGGGAACAGCTGCAACACATTCACCTCTCTTCTCACTTGACTAAGAGGTTCTCTGCAGGAGTAGGGGGAAGATAAAAACCTCTCTTTTCTGTGAGGTTTGTCAGCAAACCCTCGACTGGACGCGCAAGRCTACATGTRAWGACCACTTCCTGTCCGACTCACATCAGAAACAAGGGAGCAGGAGCCAGACACGCCTGCAAACATTCAGCTACATCAGTAGAAACGAGGCACGAGTTTATCCAAGATTGTGTTGTTCTGTGTGCAGAATCAGATAATTCTTTAGAAAAAATGAAAAAGTTTTGTCTGTTTTGATCAAACACTAAACAATGAGGAGCTCTGCCAAAACAGAAGTGAAAATGAGCTTAGATCATCTTCAAATTGTTACTGTGTAGGTTTTCTGTTTCTTTATGAGACTTATTTAAAGTTTACTTCAAATCTAAAGCAAAAAGATAACCTTTTTAATGCTTTGCACATAAGCAATGTTTTTTTTTCTTTAAAAAAGACAGGTAAATACTTTTAAATACCTTGCAAAAGCCTTTAATGTTCTGCTGAACCACAGGGATTTGTTATATTTGAGAAAGTGAAATAATAGTCATTCAAGTTCCTGTGACATGTTTATCCTTCAGATACTAAAARTCAAAGAAAACTTTGTTCAATTTAAGAAACTTGGCATACCACACATTTACCCATTTGGACACAAATGACCTATTTTCTTTTGAACTTGGCTCGGCAAAAGGGAAACAGGAAGTGACATCGAAGGGGAACTYCTTTAAAATAAGAACKCTCTGGTCTTTGTTTATTGAAACATTTTGATTTGAACTCTGATTGAGACTCAAAATAATCTAAAACATCAGGYTCCTCTCCACAGTCTGGGCTGTTGAGCATTTTAGCTTAGCTCTGTTTTCATGCAGACATTCCCCTTTGACATCACTTCCTGTTACTTCACATGCAAATATCTCAACAACTGTTCATCTCTGCAGCAAGAAAATTATTTTGTAATACAGCATGTTCTCAGTGTTATCTTTCCAAAAATGCATCTGTGTTATTAAAAAAATGTTGATGTCACAGGCACTTTAAATTTGTCACAGGC